AGCAAAGGCTCGGAAAAAAAATTTGAAACTCGACCCGAGCTTTTGGCTCGGGCCTTAACGAGCCGGTTCGTTTTTTTTCAATATATAACACAAAGGGAGCTGTAAATAGGCAGCTACACAACTGCCCATTTCCCCCCTTCTATTTCAATATTTTTTTAAAAAAAAATTATACGGGCTACACGGGCCGACTCGGCTCAGCCCAAGATTCGGCTTTCAGGTCCGAGCCGGCGAGCCAAACTGACTTCTCTAGTTCCATCTCACAAATATAAAGAATAGTGAAAAATATTTTTTTAATATCTACGTTGGAGAATGGAAAAGGACTTCAACATAATAGGAGGCGATAATTCCTCTAGGATCAATTTTTCCATTTGTTCTCGGACTATCTAATATTTTCAACCTTTTAAAATTGTGTTTATGCAGTATCTTAACTTCACAAATCGTCTATTTAGAGACAAAAGACACAATCTAGCCACATGATAAATGATTAAGAATGTCTAAACATAATTTTCCTCCACTTTTAAAATCTAGTGGATAATATAAATCAAAGAAGAAGATTTTGAATTTGGCTAGAAGCTATATGAGCAGTAACGTCCACGTATTTCTCATTGGGGTTTCGAAATAAGAATTCTATTAAAAGAACTCAATAATTCAATATAGAGATAAAATCAAAACAAGTAAATCAAATCTACCCACAAAAAGTTATCCATCCATCACTTGTGCTAATTCCGTTCGTTCGCATGGACTCCATCAAAGTCATGTAGGATTTACATCTGTCCATATGAATTTTTTGTCCACGTGGATGGATGAAATTTGTACAACGGATGGGTAACTTTTTCTAAATATGAATGACCAGTGAGCAACTTTTTAAATTTAATTGAACAATGAGTAACCTAAAATAATTTTAGTGAGTATTAATTTAAATCTTATAAGACAAGAAACGAATTGTTCTGAGTGCAATGCAACACAACTTGTTCTTATTTTCTTACTTCAGTCTCACATTCTTGTTTAGGCAATTGTTGGGTATTTTACCCAAATCAACACGGACAATATAAAAACACCCAGAAAACACACACTGCAAAAATGAAAAATAATACCAGAAATGTTGACCCAGTTCGACAAAGCCTAATATGGGGGTTTCAGAGGTAAACCGAGCCGTCGCTATGCAAGAACCTTCCAAGAGAAAGTGAAATAATTAGTACAACAAAGACTCAGACCGTAACACCTCAAACGGTCATCGATCCACAAACGGACTTCCAAAATCAGCCTACACTATACAAGAATCAGAAACCTCACAGCTAAAATGGTGCGGATTTTCTGGTTTCATTTGGATAGTCCAAATGAAACCTAAAACTCTGAACACAACCCAAAATTACACAATATTATAGGGCTCAGTAAGTGATTTTAAATACAGAACCAAAATTAATACGACTCAAGAATGGAAATTAAACCCTCGAAGAATCACAAGAAAAATCGTCTCACAGAGAGAGAGAGAGAGAGAGTGAAAACCATGTGAAAAAACATAAGCAACAACGCCTCAAAAACCCCAGTGAAATATATGCATTAAGCCTCAACCATTGATCAAATCTAACGGCCCAAGAAAGCTCTAAAGAAAAATAGATCCGGGTGATGGTCAATAGACCAATAAAATCATCACGCCAAGTGGACATGCTAAGTAAAAAACGTATTTTTACTTTCAAAAATGGGTTTTAGAACCACAATTCACAGCAATAAAACTGCTATATTATTTGTTTAAAATTCATATAAATAAAATATAGTTGATTTTTTAGACATAAAAACCTAAGTTATTCCAATTAAAAATTATATTAGAATCAGAAATTCCAATTTTGAGAAGCATAACCAGTCAATCTGAACCAAAATGACTAGTTTGGTCCGATTCTGATTCAATTGGGATAATTCCAAATTAAAATGTCTATAAAGAAAAACTTAGGGCACGTTCTCCTTGCTATTTTCAAGTCATTTTCAGTTTTTTTGAAAACATTGAAAACAAGTTTACTTACCTATTTTTAGAAACGAATTTCCAAAAACGAGTTTAAAATTTACAAAGAAAACGAAAAACGCTAAAAAGGTCGTTTTGACTGTTTTCAGTTAAAACCAAGTCTAAACTTTTTTTTTTTTTTTTGAAAATAATTTTTCAAAATGACAAAAAGAACGCGTTTTCAACAATCTCAAAATGGACACTTCAAACACAAAATCCAAAATGAATTCAAAATTAAAAACAAAAACACGAAGAGAACAACCCCTAGTGGTTTTATGCTTTAGTGGTGTTTTTCTTTTCTTTTCAAAATCTTCACAATGTAGTTTTGAAAACTAAAAATTGTCTTGAAACTTAAAAAGTAATAATACTTCTTGAAAGCATAGAAGCCAAATGGCAAGTACGAATAAGTGTTCTCAACACAAACTTGAAAAAACAAAGCATTTATTGATTTAGCAAAAACCATAGCATTTGGGCATCGCTAGCACATTTTCTTCTTCTTCTTCTTCTTTTTTTCCCTGTCTGCTTTCCAATTCAAGAGGGCACGCAGTAGGGGGCCACTCCTTTCATTTCAAGTATCATAAAATCTCAGAAAAGGAGAATATGCAAATGGAGAGAAAGATCTGGTCAAAGCTAAGAAGTTCAACCGCATTAAATAGTAGCTCAAGTACAATAGTCACAAGGGATAGTGAATAGTAAATCTCAGTCTCCCATTATTTGATATCCGGTAGTTAAAATGAAAGTTTACCCACATAATGGCACCCAACTATCAATCCATTCCCCTCTTTCTTTTATAAGTTCTCCATAGCTTCATCATATGGACAACTCCTTCCTGCAGAGTAGCTTTCCTACCTTCAGTGTAGTTCCAAAGTTCGGAAATAATATACCTCCCACTCGGGTTATATTCGTTTATCTCGGTCAAAGCCGATGTTACAGCATCGTACACTTCATCACCATAACTATTCTTCAGGTCTTTCAGCTTTTCATCATCTCGGTCAATTACTGCCTGAATAAACAGAACAAGTGTTCATAAGTAAACCACAAAAGAACGAAAAGAGGGCAAAAGAACTTTTAAAGGCTCCCAGAAATCTCTTAGCAGAACACATCCAAACCTCTGAGAATCAAAATTCTCCAACCCCTTAACCTAGGAAAATTTTCCAATCAAGTACACGAGAAGTGGTTGACTCATCTTTCTTTTCTATACTACTGTAAGTAGTACGTAATGAGTAGAGGGCACTGTCTCCGCTAAATTTGCCTAAATTATCTTGGATAATTTTGATTTAATTGGATCTCACATAGGTGTTAGATTATTCCCTTTTACGGATGAATGAGTCTGTAATTGATTGAATCTATTTACCACATATTCGTCTTATATAGAATTTTCACAAGGCTCATTTGATAAATATACTGTTGGCAGTTAACAACATTGTCACTTCTGTGCTAGTTATTTCACATGGTAGCAACTCAATATTAACTGTATTTATATAAAGTAATTTCTACTTGACACTGCAAGTAACACCGTATATTTTACTAAATTATTTTCTAACTGTCTATTCCCGCCCCATTCCCCTTCTCATGAAGTCAAACTCTCTTTTAGAACGATCTAACGAAGACCTTCAAATGTCGCAATACAGCAAAATCCATTTGACTGACAACTCTTCTCGTACAAATATTAATAAAAGTAGTTGGTCATACTTTAGCATTTGAGAACTCATTTGTACACTGAAACTAGCATTATTCATGCATTGCGGGATGAACACACCCCTAACCATCAGTATTACTCCTCCATAACTTCAACTTCATCAAAAAAACTTTAGCCCACTTAACCAACCATTGTGCCTTGTGCCAACAGGCAGAACCTGCTAACATAAATGGTTTATAGTGTAGATAACCAGGTAAAAGGTCATAGATAGAGTTGAAATATATTAATTACCTACTTGTACTCTTTGTTATTGTTAGGACTAAAGTGCAATATTTCTTTTTAACATTGTATATATTCTTGTATACCTTCCTTTTATCTATATACGAGTTTAAGTTTTCCCCAAATCGCTACTTGGTATCAGAGCACAGTAACCCTATACGCCGGCGACTTCCTTCCCGTTACCCAGACGCCGGCGACGGCGCTCCTGTGTCTGCACAATACCGGCGACCCTTAGGCGCTCTGTTCTTCCTTTTTCCTGGACCGTTGCAGGTTACCCAGCCTGATTTCCCATTACCCAGCCGAAGACGAAGTCGCGCCTGCATCTGATCAGCTCCGGCGCTGACGTCGCGACTGCGTCTGCATCTGATCAGCTCCGGCTTCCGTTTTTCCAGGTGTCTTCTTGGCCATTTCAGTTTTTTTTCTTCTTGGTTTTGCTCGACCAACTTGTAGCTCCAGACAATTCCGTTTTGCTTTTTCTAATGACATGTTCAGACTTCTACATTGCATTAGTTTCTGGTGAAAGAAATGGCATTATTGTTAGGGGCTACTGAGGTTTTTCAATAGATTTGCAACTATGCCTGAAATTGGTTGTTGAAAATTAAATACCATATTGGTCGAGACATTGGGGATTGGGACATGGTGCATATGGGTTCTGAAGTTGGGGTTTTTTGAAGTTTTTTCCTGTTGGTATTGTTCTTGTATTGATTTGGACCCACTGTTTAAGCTGGTTCTCGTTTATTCAGCCGTGTCATTTTGGTTTCTTGAGGCTGTGTACTGGGTTAATTGGTTGAAGATCAAACTTGAATTGTTTGCATTTGGGGGTTTGCATTTGGTGTTTCCCGTGCTCTCCATTCTTCCGCGATCTACTCTTGAAAGAATGACTTCTCACGTTGCTTGTTCATCTTCTGGGGAAGGTACCTTTGGGTTGCATTCTACTTCTACTGCATCTGATTGTTGGGTTATAGATTCTGAAGTTACCGATCATTTTACCTGTAATTCCTCCACATTTGACTCCTTGACAACTCCGCCTGTTCAGTCTGTTCAAGTGGCTAACGGGACTCCTGTTAAAGTTACCGGGGCCGGAAGCGTCTCGTTTTCACCTACTTTTTCTCTCTCATCCGTCTTACTTGCATCCACTTTTTCCACTAATCTCTTATCTATTAGTAGAATTACAAAGCATCTTGATTGCTCTGTCATCTTCTCACCTACTAATTGTGTATTTCAGGACAATCGAACGAAGATGACGATTGGCACTGGTAGAGAGAGAGGAGGGTTGTATTT